GACTCTATGGTAAAATTTTAATCATGTTAGCCCAACAGATTGGTATTTGGGATACCATGTGTTGGGACAACTTTTGTAGGGTTATAAACCTGAACAGTAGCTCAAACCTAATTTGGTAAGATGAAAGTGGTGCTTTCTTTCTCCGTCTGAAATATGGTTTTTCTGCCTTTCTCTTTGGATAACTGATGAATAAGTTTCACAATCAGAAATCAGCCCTAATTGTACCATTATCTGTGTATCAATGTGGGACCTTTTTATGACAGTTGTTCTTTTCTTTTGTGATTCTGATGTAACATTGTTTATGTGCTATATTGACATTTTTTCCAGGGAGCTCACAGTTCAATCTCTCGTGCTCGTGCTGCCCTGAAGTACATAGTGCTGGCTGTGTCTGGGCACATGGATGACACATTAGGAAAGTATAAGGTACTACATCCATAGTTTTACTTTTTATTACTTCATATTTCTAGTCTACAAATTTTCCGAAAAGCCTTGTCTCAAGGGAAGGAAAATTTCAAAACCTTGTTGGAGGATTGTTACTTGAGCTCAAATCCATGTGTTTGAATCCACCAAAAGAACGCTTTATCTTCTTATACTGTGAATACATAGTTTATACTATTTTTTGAGAAAAAAGGAACAAATATATGGTAACAAAGCACCAAATGGTTTTCACCCAAGTGCAAGAAGCTTTACAGCTCAATCAAGATATCTATTTGGTCGCCCAAATCCTTTAGAGGATGACACTTGAACAAAGAGTGAGTAACCATAAATCCCTTTCTCTACTAAAAGGAGAAGTAATGCCCTTTAAAGCCCTCCACTCCTTGCAAACCACCGACAAGACACCCAAGGAATAAGAAGATGAGATTTTTCCTCCTTTTATCACCCTGGATGCCATGTCATGCAAAATCTCATCAGCTAAAGAACCAGCCATCACCAAGCACAGGCCAATGAACTCAAAGGGCATGCACGAAAAATCCGAAGGAGAAAGGACACCATAGAAGAGTGGATTGGTGTCGTCCACCCTCGTGTACAAGTAGCACCCAGTCACTAGAATCTTCCCCCTCTTTTGATAATTGTCAATTGTGACAATCCCCTTTTGTCCACCTCGTAAGCTAAGTTTAGGAGACACATTAAGCTTCCAGATAAGGTCCTAAGGGAAAATACTGCAGGGTGAGGCAAAATGGTTTAGTTTGTATTGTTAAGGTCCTTAATTGAATTATATGGCCTCATTTCATAATTGTATCTTCATTATTATATGCCTTTCTTTTTTTTGAAATAATATTGTTATATGCCTTTCAGGAAGTTAAACACAAAATTCTGTTTCTTCTGGAGATGCTGGAGCCTTTTCTTGATCCTGCTATATACACGATGAAGAGCCGAATAGCTTTTGGTGATGTATCTCTCACTTTTCTTGAGAATCAGGAAAGGAACTGTCTGATTGCCCTCAATATCATTCGTACTGCAGTACGAAAACCAGCTATTCTTCCTTCTTTGGAATCTGAATGGAAACGTGGATCAGTTGCTCCTAGGTACAATTTTTACTCGCTGCTGCTAACACAGTCTATTCTTGGAAATATTTGGCATGATATATTCTTTTTGGTTATTTGAACTTTTCCATAGCCTGAGAAAGATGAAGGATATAGGATAGAATGTTGGAGGATTAATTATTTATCTACTAAATCTTGGCGTGCTGCTGCAGATACAAGATTATTAAGATATTGATAGAATAATTATTTCCGGCCATATCCTAAGTATTTTTTTCCATTGGTTATTGTTGGGAAAAAATTAATTCCCATTGAAAATTAATATTCTGTTATATTGAGTGAATAATGGATTTTTCTTTCCCATCTTCCTTGCAGTGTACTTCTCTCGATATTGGAACCTCAGATGCAGTTACCACCTGAAATTGATCTTTGCAAGTACCCTAGTCCAAAAGGTCCTGTAATTGAATCTTCAACTGTTTCAGCCCCTGTCCCACGCTATGGAGGAGCTCCAAAATCATATCCCCAAGTTGACTGTGATATAAAAACAGAATTGTCTGATGCACCTTCTAAGATGGATGTTTATGAGGATGTCAATCTCTTTTTTGCCCCTCCAGAACTTCAGAACATACCACTAACAAATGTTTGTGGTATTTCTAATGAAAATGTCTCAGATTCATACCTTCGAGATGTCAACATAAAAAAGAAGCATGCATTTTTGGAGTTTGCTAACCAATTTCAGAAGGAGTTAGTGTTGGATGCTGGTTTTGCTGCTGAGTACTTCAACTTGCAAGCAGATCATTTTCAACTTTCAAACTTTCGAGATTGTGAGCTTAGGGCTTCTGAATTCCAGCGTTTGGCTCTAGACTTGCAACAGCATGACATTTCTACCGAAAGTCATGATGCTGCTATCGATGCTTTGCTTTTAGCTGCAGAGTGCTATGTTAACCCCTTCTTTCTGATGTCTTTTGGAGCCAGTCCAACAATTGTGAATCAAATGAAGGTCAATGGAACTAAAGTTCCAAAAGGCTGTGAAATTCCGGAGCTGAGGAGAGTTTCTGAAAAGAATTTTGCGGACTTGGAAACAGTAGCTCATCTTGAAAAGAGAAGAGACAAAATTGTCCTCCAAATTTTGCTTGAGGCAGCTGAATTAGACAGAAAGTATCATAGTAAGTTGTTAAATGAGGAAAATTGGGGAAGCTATGCTGAACAATCTGACGAACAAATTGTTGAGTTGTCCCCAGTTGATCTTGAATCAGCAGATGCTGTCACCTTGGTTCGGCAAAATCAGGCTTTGTTATTCAATTTCCTCGTTAAGCAGCTGCAAAAAGAGCAAAGCTCTATGCACGAAATTCTCATGCATTGTCTTGTGTTTCTATTGCATTCTGCTACTAAGCTATGCTGTTCACCTGAGAATGTGATTAGTATTATCTTAGGATCTGCTGAGCACCTAAATGGAATGCTAAAATCTTTATATTCTCAAGGCAATCTGCAGTTGAGTCCAGAAAAAGTACATGGAATACAGAGAAGATGGGTGTTGCTACAAAGACTGGTAATTGCTTCAAGTGGAAATGATGCTGGGTCTGGTTTGGCAGCCAGTATCAACCATGGTTTTCGGCATGGGAACTTAATTCCATCTTCAGCATGGATGCAGAGAATATCCATGTTTTCCAGTTCTGATTCGCCTCTGGTCCGGTTTTTGGGTTGGATGGCAATTTCTCGTAATGCAAAGCAGTTCATAAAAGATCGTCTTTTTCTTGCATCTGATCTTTCAGAGTTGACGTATTTGTTATCAGTATTTGCAGATGAGCTTGCGGTAGTAGATAAGGTTGTTGACCAGAAACATGAGAAGATTAAAACTTTACCATTGGAAATTAAACAAGATTCTGCAGACAGTAAAGCTTCTGAAATTGCTGATCAGCTGCATGAATTTCAGTCTTTACGAGTTATTTACCCTTATCTTGGTATTTTCTTTCCAAATATGAAAAGGCATTTCCAAGCATTTGGCGAGACTATTTTGGAGGCCGTTGGGCTGCAGTTAAGGTCTCTTCCTTCTGCTTTTCTGGCTGATATTTTGTGCTGGTTTTCTGATTTGTGTTTATGGCCGTTTTTTCAGAAAGATCAAACTATTTTGCCTAGCTCTAATATTTTGAAAGGTTATGTTGCAAAGAATGCCAAAGCCATAATCCTTTACATATTAGAAGCAATTGTTGCTGAGCACATGGAAGCTATGGTGCCTGAGATACCAAGAGTGATGCAAGTACTGGCATCTCTTTGTAGGGCCTCATACTGTGATGTATCATTTCTCAACTCTATATTGGGTCTATTGAAGCCCATTATTTCGTATTCGTTGCGTAAGGTATATGATGAGGAGAAACCATTGGTCAATGATTCTTGTCTTAATTTTGAGTCGTTATGCTTTAATGAGCTTTTCATTAGTATTAGACAAAGAGATGATATGCAAGATACTTCTGCAGAAACAGCATTTAACAGAGCAATGACAATATATATTCTGGCTTCTGTCTTTCCGGATTTGTCCTTTTATCATAGAAAAAAAATGTTGAAGTGCTTAACTCTATGGGCTGATTTCTCTTCATTTGAGCCAACAACTTCTTTTCATGACTACCTCTGTGCTTTTCAGAGTGTAATGGAAAATTGCAAAGATTTCCTAATTCAGATTTTAAGGAAATTTGGATTTATTTCGCTGCACTTACAGTTGCCCGAGTTTTCTAAACTTGGAACAATTGATGATAGTCCAGAATCAGAATCATGGTTTCTTAATGATGTCCTTCAGGATATTTGTACAAATGAGGTTTCTAAGAAGCCAGAAAGTAACAACTTTGATGCTTTTCTCCCAAATCACAAAAATGATCATGTATCTGCAGAAGAGATAGAAAGCTTTACCAAAGATATAGAAAGTCTTGCCGTAAAGCTTTTTCCAACTTTTGAGTCATGTTGGAACCTTCATCCTCAACTCGCTAAGAAGATTACTATTACATCAGCAGAGTGCTTTGTTTACTCAAGATCTTTGGCTTCAGTTGCACCAATAATTCAAAATGCACCAGAGGGTATCAATGAAAATCCCTCACCATTTAACTCAGTTGATCAGTTTTTGGTTCATGGGAAGACTGGGATGGAAGGACTTGCTGAAACTATTCTC